CTCTTCGAGCTCTCCATTTAGGTATGCTGTAATGACATCCATCTGATGGATCTCCAAATCCATTTTTGCTGCCAGTGCCGCAAGTAGTCTTATAGATGTTGAACGAGCGACTGGAGAAAACGTATCATGAAAGTCTTCACCTGGTCGTTGTGCAAAACCCTTCGCTACTAATCGTACTTTCTGTTTTTCGTCATCTTTAGTTCGAAGCACGAATCTATTCCCAATAACTTTTCGTGATTTCGGTCTTTCGACCACTTCCCATGTTTTATTCTTTAGTTGTGCCACCATTTCGTCTTCTAGCGCTTTTGACCAGGAATTTGTTTCATCGCTTTCAAGTGCCTCCAAAATCGTTACTGGAGTTTGATATGTAGTGAGAAACGCCATTTCACAATCTTCAAAAACGTTGTTGTCAGGTTCATCATCTGAATGGTTTTTATCACCAATTTTTCTTACTGAACTTGTATTTTCGTCTTCGTTGGATGATTCTTCACCATTCCGATTTGACGTGTAATATTCTTTTCGAGGCCTACCGCGTGAATTTGTGCGAATAAGTCTCGGACGACCTCTTCTACGAATGGAGTTTTCTTCTCGCGTATCTGTATTTTCTACAATTTTCGGATTGACCGACAGTTTCTGATTTTCACAATTTTCGAACGCAATATCGATATAATCATTTGTTTGGCAGTCGTTTTCATTGTTAATATAAATGTTTTCGTATTTATTATGATAGATATTTTTGTTTACGAACACGACATCACGACTTATTGTTATATTTCGTTTTGTAGGTGACCATAGCCGATAGGCTTTTGCTTCGTTTGAATATCCAACAAAACATGTAAGGTTCTGACTTAGAATCGAATTTATCTCTAGTCTTATCCTTTTTTAGGACATATGCTTTAGAGCCAAATACTTGAAAATGTACAATAGTTGGCATTTTACCAGTCCACAACTTGTGCGGTACTACACCGTTCAATGCTTTTGTAGGACACCTATTCCGAATATAGCACGCTGTATTTATGGCCTCTGCCCAAAAATTTGGCGGAACTTCAGCTTGTTTCATCATGCAACGGGCCATTTCAACTAGAGTTCTGTTTTTACGTTCAGCAATACCATTTTGCTCCGGCGTATATGGAGCAGTTAAGCGTCTTTGTATACCAAATTTCCTCAAGAATAAATTAAATTCAGAATTAACGTATTCTCTACCATTGTCTGATTGTAAAGCCTTAATTCGTTTACCCGTAAATGTTTCTACTGCTCTTTTGTATTGCTTAAATACATTTAATACATCGGATTTTTGTTTTATAAAATATACATGACAATAGCGTGATTTGTCATCAATAAATGTTACGAAATATTTTGCATCCGAATTTGATGCTGTTCTCATTGGTCCGCACACATCACTATGCACGATCTCTAATAAGTCACTTGTTCTAGTTTCTTTACTCTTAGGAAATGGTTTTTGTATTTGTTTTTCACTAATACAAATTTCGCAAGTCGGAAGTTTTTGTTTAGGATTTAATTTTAATCCGTGTACTAGGTTATTACTAGCCAATTTTTTAAGATCGTTTTCATTTATGTGGCCCATTTTCTGGTGCCACTTTTCAATGTCACATTTTTCTTCAACAACTTGTGCAAAATGATTTTTATTTTCAACAATAAAAAGATTTCCACATCTTTTCGCTCGAGTTATAACCTTCTGATATTTGTCCAATACGATTGCATCTGAAGGGCGAAAATGCACTTCATATCCGCTGTCTACTATTTTTGATACAGAAAGTAGACTTGTACGCAAGTCCTCGACATATAGAACTTCTTTAAGATCAATATTATTATCACGACCGTATACGTCTACAGTTATTTTCATTTTACCGACGCCGTTTATATTTGTTGTGTTGTCGTTTGCTAAGTTAAGCACTTTATTCGATTTTTGAAAGTCTGTAAAATATTCACGGTTTGCACTTAAATGGGCAGTACATCCACTATCTAGGCACCAATAATTTTCTTTTATTGAGCTAATAAATGCATCTTCAACATGATAGCTAAAATTATTGTTTACAGATTTTTTCGAATTTTTCAATTGCGTGTTATTTTCAGCTTTTGCTTTATTTTTACATTCACGTGCAAAATGTCCGATTTTGCCACAATTAAAACATTGTTTGTTTCGTTTAGAATCACTGTATCGTTTGTTTTGTTTTGCG